GCGAGCTACAGGTCCCAACGACCAATGCTCACCCCTTGCCGCTATACTACAGCAGGCGAACTTGAGGCATAATTCAAAGGGTGAAAATGCTAGCACACGGAGACTTTTAAAAGCAAGACTCAAGTAGAAAATGAACTACTCCTGGCAATACTGAATACTAAATGCTACTACAAGAAAGCGTTAGATGGCTGAGCTCATGAGCAACCACGGAGATGAAAGGATGTGCGACAATCGCTCAAATCCTCACCAGCCTACCCTTTTTGACTTTTGACTGCTAAATGATGTTGAAATCGGTGTTTTAGCTCAAATCCCGCACAGCAGGCGCCTTCCTGTCAGGTGGATAGATAACCAGAAGTGGACAGAAAACCCACTGCGATACCTCAGATGGGGTGGCACACAAAGTACGGCCTGCTGCGGTACAAGGCACGCATGTCGTGAGAGTAACGATCTATAACGTTTTCGAAGAGTGTGGACCAGCGCATCTGGCCAAAACAACGACTAAATCTGTCTGCAATTGCTGTTGAGCAGATCATTGCAAAAACAAGCGCAAAATCTCGACACCCTTAACCACAACTCCTATAGACATTGGACGATTTGCACCCGAGAATAACGAAAAACTACATTCTAGTGTCTAGGAATGGAAAACAGCCATGTTTCAGATCGTTGACCAGGCGACAGAAATGCTTACCAGTTCACTGAGGGAACCATTGCGGGAAGACTTGCCATTCGGCTGTCCCGCGGAGCCACCACCATTGTCAGCTTCAGAATTGTTGATGCCATTGGAGTTGGTATCCCTTACGTTCCAGGATTGCATTATGAATCCATTTTTGCCCAAGGCAGTGGAGGCGTTACACGCATTCACTTCCCTGCGATTCTCCGGTTCAGAGGCATCACTACCGTTGCAGACGTCGGCTGAAGAGGGCAGGATAAGACACGACAAGCGGGTTAAAAGATTAGGAGACGATGGAAGCAGAGATGGACGGATTTGTGTGGGTATGTTCAGTGTGGCCACTAATCGACAAAGCTACCAATTAAAACACTTCTGGCATTAAGAAGGAAGAAGTGAAACCATCGCCTTAGCCTGGCCATTGCGCCTAGTAAAACCACATAGGTCAGGAGGCACTAAACGCCAAACTTATTGACGTTATCACTCTGCTTAAACGTGACGCTGGATGAGTGACAAAAATGTTGAAAAGACCTGTAAGGAGCATGTCGCATTCTACCCATGTGAGATTCTACTTAGGATCGGATCAGGCCACTTCATTATCCGAAAATATGCATTAATGATTTGAAGAAGGCCTACACTGGTGTACAAAAAGGAGCTCCAGAGTATCCCTTCTATCCATGGAAAACGAGACGGCGGGCAAAACAGAAAGGGTTTGAACAGGCAGTGCTACTTCTTGACATCCATGTTAAGGTTGCGTGGTGAAAAAATATTATGCGTGGGTCTAGACTGCAAATTAGACAAAGAAGGGTCAACGACGCCCAAAAATAATTGGCTACATCCAATGGCTGACACAGTGTGTGAAAATCAAAGTACTTAACTAAGTGGTGGAGTTCATTGTCGAGTGTGTTTAGGACAACGAAGTCAGACAGATGTCAGATGACGAGCTAACTAGATTCTACCCGAATGTGGGGATATGGTTGCAAAAGCTCCCTTTTATTGTGACCTTTATGACGACTATTTTCAATGGGTGATCCGAGACCTCGCGGCCTGATTCGTTTACATGTCCGAACCAGCAAGTATAATGTGCGCAGACATGAACTTAGTTACAACGGTGACAGGCATATAATGAACAATGCGTTCCCACTTTAAACAAAATCGCGCGCGCAATTCGCCACTTATGCCCCCCTTCCCGAAACAGAGGTGACTCGCGTCGTTTACCACAGAGGAATCGCCGTATGAGGTCTAGGACTAAAGGTATCCTGGAAAGACGGATTGATGCTTGAGGCATGGTGCTCAGACGCCAACTCTGTCAACAGGCATCTGGACCTCCCGGCGGCCTACAAAGTCCTACGCCATTACGTAAGTACGGGACAGGACACGGTCAAACCGAAGTGAGGACTTGCAGACGAAGACGGCACTGTGACGAAACCACCGGAAGAGGGAGCAGGATTGCCAGCGGCCTCTACCGTGGGGACGAAACAGAACACCAAGTGCCGTCACGCAAAGCCTAAATCCACACGCACAGCCAAACAGCAACCGGGGAAAAATCAAACGGCCCAAGGCCAACACGCACAGCCGCAACTTTAAACTTGCTGATCGATAAATTCAGTATTCCCTTCGACAAATGACAGCGGGCCCAGTTGTCCGAAACGTCAGCAAATCAACAAATTTATTCCGGTGAGCAGAAAATGAATTCTTTTTTTTTAACCCGGAATTCTGACTTTTTCAAATTTGAACTTACTACCCCATCCGAGGGCTACCCAGATCGTCCACTGACGGCTGCCAGTGAAAAGGTGTTACGCAAAGATTAGCAGCTGTGAAATAAGCAAACTGCCAGTCATGCAAATAAGCAATCATAGAGCATATGCCTGAAAGAGGCAAGTTCCTGTTAAACGCCAATCATGCTTCTGCAGTGGGTTCCCAAGCATGGGACACAGGCATACTAGGAAGCATGATGGGCCGGGAATCAATGTGTCGACGATCTGGGGAGCCTGTATGGGAGCACAACATACTGACGTAGACAAGACTTTCCCACACACATTCTCCTGGCTACGCTTATCAAAAATACATAGGAGGGTGTGTGGGGAAAGCATTGGTTGGGGATGGCCTGATAAAATAGACGTTTAATACGCTCTTTGATCTACGAACAAGAGGATAAATGCCACAGAGTTCGTCGATTGGATAGACCATTAGGCCAGACTAGGTTTAAAAGAATTTGCGGCATAGCCGAGGCAAACATAACTAGTTGTGGGCTGACAGTCGGACCAACTCTACGATTTTTGATTAACATCGTGCCAGCTATGGGTTACGCGCATTTACACGACTAGAATAGCCACTACAGTGCGAAATTATAAGTTACACGGGACGATGAACGGTCAGTATAAATCCGCGATTGTGACAATTGGTTTCAGGGTCAAAAGATCTAACCAGAGCGGGTTTTCAAGTCCAAGCAGTCAAGAATTTGGTGACAAAGGCGTGTCAATCAAAGTAAAATCAATCAAGTGATAAATTGAGCACAAAAATCGAAAAAATAGAAGGTTTACACGTCAAAAACTCGGCACATCGAGCGTTGTCGAGAGGCCTGGAAGGAGGTTTATTGCAGAGTTGGTTGTCCGAAGTCAAACCCTCCTAAAATGAAAATTTTTGAGTAATTGGGAAAAGCTCTGTTCTGTGCTATGCCTGTAAATGACAAAGGAGAATGGAATACTACGAAGAAGAGGGGAAGAAAAATGTTCAGTGTTAAGTGAGAGGTATCTACTTGCATGGTAGCAGCAAAACTTTAAAGAATCCGGGCAGAATGAAGAAGAACATGATACTACACAATATCCATTCGCTATAGGATAGTTTAACAAAACGCCAATTAGAGATGTGGACGAATAACATGACCTTCACTCTATGTACACTACGACACTATTTAATGTCCAGTCTGCTGAGGCACAACGGATTCAGTCTTCAGGTTTCTATAGGCACTAGATGTCTGAACTGCACCCAAAGCTGCAAATGGTCTCAACACAAATAGACAGTAGTTAGTATAAGGAAATAAAGAGCAAAATTGTTACGAAATAAAGAGCATGCGCAGCGGAAGGCGTTGACTTAGCAAAGGTAATAAACAACAGTCAGTCAGGAGTGAAAATACCGCTGTCCTACGAAACTGCAGCTGAACAAGTTACGAAAGCAGAAGCGCCACGCACGCGAAAATGACATCACTAACGACTTCTAAAAGCTGCTGTTAAAACGGCACAGATACTGAGTTCGCATTGGCGGTAAATAACCCACTGACGTCAAACGACTCATAAGAGCTTGTGCACTGACCCATTTATAGATATGGGATGTGAATGGCACGCCGTGGGTATATTTTAGGACGAAGTATACTCCAGAATTATCGGTCGGGGTTGAGACTTCTACATTTTTTGAGATGAGACAAGCCGAACCCCTGCTTCCTAGTCTGTTGGGGTTTGGAAACTACCAACCATTTTGGAAGACTTTCATTGTGGATAATTGCCTGGAGGAGCTTAATTTAACAAAATGATAAACAAGTAACATCCCCAGTTAATAACGCCACAGAGCTCAAAGTTACCCCGAAAATGACCGCAAAAAATGAATTCCTGGTTTTAAATTTTGCGAAATACCAAAAACCAGAGTAGGAGAAACCGTTAGCTTAATGAGGGTAGCGGCCAACATTTGCACTTTGGAGTAGTCCGACCGAAAGTCGCACATGCAGCAGAGTTTGGAATGTCCACAAACGCACATACAAGGAACAGGTTTTACGGACAGTTCGAAGGGCAGAATTTTGCTCTTTCTACCTAGACTGTCGGCTATGTGTTAACATGTGCTAACAGTCAACATCAGCGGTGACTAAAAAGACAAGTCTGCTACAAGCGGCGAACTCACAACCCTACTTCCAGCCAAGAATATGTAGAACTGGAGATGTAATGAGGCAATATAAATATCACTCAGCTTTGCATGTTTTCAATGAAATTTGATAGGCGGGGTGGTCAGATCAGTAATACCCAGGAGTTATAAGTGTACAACCTCAACTTACGGGATACTACCATTATCAACGCGGGCTTTCAAAGTATTACCATAGAGCATATACTTGAGTTCTAAAATCCCAACAAGCACAATTCTCACTGCATAGAAACAAAGCCATTGTAATTGTCAACTCCGAATGCCAGGCGGGAAACGATATAAATTTCTTGACAAACTCTACTGAGTCCGGTGAGGAGGAAGTCTTGTTTGTTTTAGATAATCGTGCAAACAACGCTAACTTCTTTAAAATTCGAAATTGCTGCCTTTAAACGCGACCACATGACGGAATTTGTGGTTATATTCGACAGTTCCATTTTCGTATGCCTTGCAGAGTGGGCAAAGAACTAGTAACTCGCGCGTGAATTATTTCACTGTGAGGTGGACTTGCGAAGCACCTACTGCATGCTCTCTTCTCTCACTACCTTGCTGTGATGGCGAGATGATGTCAAGAAGACCGGAGGCAGATTAAAATGCATTGTCCCAGCCTACACCTGGTGAGGAGTCTCGGAACTCCCACATGGAAAAATGTCATAAGGAACACGTCAATGTACCATCGCATCCGAGTTCTCTGTGCTGACGAGTACCCAGTTATCCCGTTAGTTGGCAAATTTCCAGGCCAGATTCATGGAAATGGGGAATGCAAGGATTTGTTGTGGAGACAGATTCCTGGGCGTTGGCCTAACAGTCTCCTATTCTGCGCACCAGCCAGCTGCCATAGCCTCAAAAACAACTGTTGCGGAGATTTGGGCATCGTGGCTAACAATGCT